ATCTCAGGTGCTCCGGAAGGGAAAGCAGATCGTGCTCCACATGTGACACCCGTCGTGTTGCTTATGTTATTATAAATCCGGTAAATAGTCTAATTCGGTAGGTCACATTCGTGAAAAGGGAAGGGTATTGTAAAATGTGGGGACAGTGTCAACACATTGATTATCGATTTAACCGGTACAATTAAAATCCTTTGCGTGTTGACCAGCTATCTATTCTATACCGGTGCTTTGCTTTTGCGCCAATTGGCATTTTATTTCCGCCACAAACCATATTTTATTTGCGCCAAAAGAAAATATTTCATTTGCGCCAATGATACAGGTAAATATATGTAAATAGTATAAAAAAATGTTTTATTCAAAAGAGACTTTTAATAATACTTAACTTTATTAATTAAAACACAGTTTTTGATTGCATAATAAAACTATTCATCCCAAACTAGTCATCATAACCACAATAAAAGCTCTATATTACACTGATACGTTATTAAAAAGAGACTTTTTAAATTAATAATGTTAAAACAAAGTTCAGTTATAAATAAGCGTGATCATAAAACCTAAAAGAAAGCACTATACAGCTATTTCAGTTGATATTTTATAGTGTGTCTTTCTATGTTGTGATGTTACACTATTGTTTCAGAAAAAGGGTGAAGGTTTGGTACCATTAAAACGTTTAAACCCGCTGCATTTGTTTGCACCTGTCCTAAGTCAGGAATCTGATGTTCAGTAGTTGTCGTTTGTTGATGTGGTTCATAAGTGTTTCTCGTTTCTCGTTTTTTATATAGATTAGACCGTTGGTTTTCCCGTTTGAATGGTTTTACACTAGTAATTTTTTGGGGTCCTTTATAGCTTACTGTTCGGTGTGAGCCAAGGCTCCGTGTTGAAGACCGTACTGTGACCTATAATGGTTTACTTTTATAAATTTTGACATGGATGGAGAGTTGTCTCATTGGCACTCATACCACATCTTCTTATAACTATACAGTAACAATGCAGTAAAACCAAAAGTTTCTTCTGACACAAGACTTGTAAGCAACATGAAAAATAAGGAACAATTCAATTGAGAAAACTAACGGCCCGTTTGTCTCAGAATTAACAATGTCCAACTTGACACCTTAAACATGTGAACACTGTATAATTTTAAACCTAAGTGACTATCAGTTTTATACAGAAATGAGTATGAACTCACTGCTTACCCAGGGGGGGATACTCTGAAAAAAATCTGATTCACGTTAGAATATGGCAAAGTGCTCTCGACCAATGAAATTGTAGGATTTGATGCTTCTTAATTGTGAAGAATGTATTATCCTATTGTTTATGCCTTAATTTACAGTTCAAAACAAAGAGTTTCTATAAATGAGTTACAACTGCCATGAAGCACATTTATCAGCTTGAAAGGATTTGTGATTGAAACTGAATTATAAAACTTTAATTTTGAAACAAACCAAAAAACTACAATAAAAATTAGAATATTTCAAAATAACTTTAAATTACTAAAAATTAAACTATACCAAAGTAATGAAAAAAAGTTAAAAGAAAATTGAAACCTAAATATTTAGCCAATATGCTTGACAAAACTCAGATTTCTGGATCCGCGGTTGGTATAAAAAGTAATTTCCAATATTCTGATAAAAAAAGGAATTTCAATTAACTTTGAATATATTTAAAACTTTTAAAGGCATTTCATTCGAACATTTCCCTGACATAATGAAATAGTATTTAATGTAAAGAGCTGGACTGAAATATTGGCTGTGAAATAAAATTTAGCTTTAACTCAAATTTTGAATTTATTGATTTGAACTGTAAATAAACAAAAAAGATAATACCTCACTAAAACATTACATGAATAACATTCATACTCACAATCACGAAACTTTTTTCAAAATCATAAGAAAGCTTTAAGTCCTTACATCACTAAAACTAATTCATAAATGAAATACACAAAAAGGAAGTCATGCATTTCTCATAAACATTGCACTAACAATGAATCTAATTCTTGAATACAAGCAGTCAAGAGATCATTTGAGCCTTGAGCACTTTACAATATTCTAAGTTTGTAAGATAATGATAATCCCTTTCATCATGATAAGTACTCGCTAACTCTCGCTAACGCTCGTACTTAATCGTGAAGAAAGGGATTATCATTCTCTTACATATACATATAGCAATGCATATTTTAACTTGCGCAAATGTAGTTTTTATTTTTTGGCGCAAATGAAAGATTTGATTTTGTAAAAATTGGCGCAAATGCAATGCGCCCTCTTATACAGACGTCTTGGTTCATTTGAATAATATTAAAGTCAAATGAAACTTTAAATTTTAAAAAAAACGTTTAATATGTTTAATATACTTGAAGTTTTACTATTAAACAAGTTTACGTGAATTTTCTTGTAAAATAACATTCTTTATATTATTAAATTTTTTTTATAAATGTACTGCTATTGAATTATTGTCTTCCCGTACGCTAATTCGCCGATATTTTTCCGTATGCAGTGACCTAAACTACGAGACCTTTCGTTACAACTTCGGCCACCGCACATCGCAAGTGCGAGTGGAAAACCGTGATAAAAGAATGTAAATAAACGTGCAATGGAAGGTAAATAGTAATTACTGTTTCTTAAAAAAACAAATTTAATACAACAAATCATTGAACAACTGTTCATGAAAATTAACAAATGAGAACGCATGGGAAATATATTAAAATATGAATTGTTAGAAGGTCTTGGTGTAACATCGAACATGTTAATCATTTTCTGATATAATTGCCTGTGTATGTAGGACGGCAAAGATATATGTGCAGGGGCGGATCCAGGTTGGAACCCCCTTTTTTGGACGATCAATGCATTTGAATGGAGACATATGGTTGGAACCCCCTTTTTTGGACGATCAATGCATTTGAATGGAAACATATGGTTGGAACCCCCCTCCTTCTTTATCCTGGGTTGGGAACCCCCCTTTTGAAAATGGCTGGATCCGCTCTGATGTGTGATTTTGGATTGATAGCATTTCAAGTATTCACTTCTGGATTGATAAAAGTAAGAAGTAGTATGCCAGTGTGAATTTGTCGTTATTACAGTATTTAGAAAAGTTCAATATATCGCTCAACCAAACCCGCGCCAAGCCCTACAGTCTGGCTGATATATGTTCTTCTCTCGGATGTCTACATAGGCTTCCACTGTTTCAATGACTTTGAAAGTATTTAGACGCATATAAACTTGTTGCACATAAAACCGACACTCCGATTATCGCAGGTTTTACATTGTCTTCTTTCTGCTTGTGGTTTAGCTCCAAGATTTAATTTTACATGAAAATAGTCTAAAGTAAATTACGATTTGTCTGAAAGGTTTTCTTTTTAGAAAAGGCGAGGTCATAGACACACACAAGTAAAAATGACAGGGTATGGTTTCTTGGACATTTAATGTTCACGTAAGGGCTCAGAATGGTTTAATCCGATTAAACGTCAGAGGAAGAGGCCATAAAACGGAGCGAAAGTCAAGAAGAAGAGAAAAACGGGGCGAGGGTTCATATTGTGCATGTATGGTGCGACTATTTGTTTTTACCCTGTGGTGTATTTGTATAAATTTTATAGAAAGTTGTTAACTTCCGTATAATAAGACACTTTTAAAAAGACTGGTTATGAGGATAAAAGCAAGTTTGTTGTCCCTTCGATTCTAACTATTGCCTTCGGCTTCGCCTCGAGCAATAGTTGTTATCTCAGGGACATCGAAATTGCTATTACCCTCATAACAAGTCAAATGTATAACATAATCCGTTTTAAGGAATTATGCCACTCTTTAAAAAATCCTGTATCCGCCCATCATAACCATTTTCCTTTCTGCAATCCCCTAGCCCCCTTTTTCAGTGTTCTAATGGAATAAATATTATGGAATTAATAATATTTATTCCTTGCGAAATATTTTTTATGAAATATTCGTCCCATAATGAACATTTTAAAATAAATTGTCTGTAATAATGTTTGCAAATAGACAATTGATACAAGAAACAAATATACGTTGACATCGGTACTACGCAGTGTAAACACAAGATTCAATTGATACACTCGTACACAGGTAATTTAAATCTTCAAATCACTTTTTGATACGATACCCTACTTACAAGTCTAATTCGTATTTTTTGATTCGAGTGTGAAGAGTCTTTTTTAGACGAATTAAGTGCGAGTCTGGTGCCTGGTATCTATGATGAGTTTATTTATTGACAACCTCAGCGTCCAGTTTATACAATTTCGTTAAACGTCTACTGTGGATTCATTATTATTCGTTGGATACCAATTTTCGTTGATTTCGTGTGTAAAGCTGAACTACGAATTTTAAAGTTCGACAAATTACGTAATGAGGGGAAAAGGTTATGAGTTTCATACATTGTTTACCTGTAAAAATGCTGATATTTCTGTTCTTAGAACAAATACCACATTATTATGTAATTAATCCAAGCATGAACACAATTACTGGTCTGCTGTCTATATGTAACAAAAGAATTTATCAATTTTCGTAAGGAAAATTATGAAATACCAAAATTAATTATATCAAATGTTTTTTTATAACATAGTATGTATTTGTGTTTTGTCTGTCCTGTCTTTCTATGTATTATCTTATGTTTGTAATTATATTTTCCTCTTGTACACCTGTATGTGTCTGGGGTTATGAATAAAATCTTGAATATTGAACGAAGTAGAAATTTTCTATAGGCTTTGTAAGAAGACTTACGAAAAACCACGAAATCAAGTATCCACGAAAATACAATTTTTTCTCAATGCAGGAAAGTTGGTACCCACGAAAATAAATGAATCCACAGTATTAGACTAACTTGAGCCAAAACTAAAGTCACTGATACCAACGTTTCACGCATTGGATTTGACCAATCATGATTTTTCAAGGGACACTATTTTTTTTTTATTCTGGAAAACTATTAATTCTAAAACACAAAATGATTGTGTAAAACATGAACCAAAGTATTTTACTGCAGAGGCTTATAAATAAACAATACAAGAAGACTTGATTTTATTAAGTTTACAAAGATTACACTGTACGATTGGTTGTTTTACTGCTGCAAATTACCAAAAAAAAAAAAACAACAACAAAAAAAAAAACAATTGAAAACTGTACAAAAAGTTGGTGGTCTGGATGGGGGTCGTTCATTTTAATTTTTAGAACATATTTATCTATTCTTTTACTTATTTTGCCTATTTTTCTCTATTCATTAATTTTTTTGTCCTATTTATCTCTCTCTATTCTTTTATTTATTTTGCCTATTTTTCTCTATTCTTTAATTTATTTTGCCTATTTTTCTCTATTCTTTAATTCATTTTGCCTATTTTTCTCTATTCTTTAATTTATTTTGCCTATTTTTCTCTATTTATTTTGCCTATTTTTCTGTATTCTTTTTATTTTTTATTTTGCCTATTTTTCTCTATTCTTTAATTTATTTTGCCTATTTTTCTCTATTCTGTAAACCCCATCCAGACCGTCATAGTTTGGTTATTTAATACCATGGTGTTGTTCACAGATCCTTTTTAACTTGTGAAAATCAGATTTGTTAATCCGAAAGATTACTTGCGACATTATAAAAAAAATATATAAAAAACTCCCCCCCCCCCCCTTTTTTCCAATATAAACCCCAAATAATATATATACATGTATACAATTTTAAAGAATTATTAGGATAAGAGAAGATAAGTTTTTGGTGTAGAACCAATACAATATCATATACACTCGTTTCCTGTAACTGGCAGAACAAAATAGCGTATAAATAAAATAATTTTATTCTGTATAAATATTTTACAAAGACTGTAAGTAAATATTTATAATTTATGGGTGTTACGGTGCTTAATAAAAAACAGTCTGCACTTTTATTGTGCTTAATCAAAATTGTACATAAAATGGGTAGGCATGAAAATTAAGGGTTGGTCGGGAGGTTGGAAACACACTTCATTTTGCCTAATGAAAGTAAAGAATAATGTTTTTGTTTTCCCAAGTATACGAAATTTAAACCATTGTATAAGGCAATGTTATTTGAAATAGTAAGATAAACATAGTCATGCAGATACAACTTGTATTGAAATTTGACAGTTGTCATTAAATTTTGTATTTCAATCCAGCAACTAGAAAAGAAATCACGGTGGATAGAGCGAATATCACAAAGCAAACCCAAAACAATAATTTATCCAATGCTGTGATAGCTTCCTTCCACGTGACATCCGTCTCTGCTACTGCATCCTTTTCGGATTCTTCTGAAACAGAAACCCTTTTACCACGCATGCGCAGTGCAAGAATTTTCAATATCCTGTATACTGGTTCTTCCGACGAAAGAGTTATCAACCCAGATTCTACGGTCGAAACCAGCACAATGGCGGTCCCCATAACCAGTTGTATAATTATATAAACGGACATTATAGGGACCGTTTCTGAACTCTGAGGAAGAGAAGCTGACACTATTGTCAGAAATACCGCAAATGACAACCATACAGTAATCGTGTAACCTAATCGCTCTCCAATATCCGCGGGAATCTTAAAAGTGAAAATGTCCAAAAGAGAAAGCAATATGATGGGAAGAACAAAATTCATAATAACAAACAATGGCTTCCTCTCTATAACAATTGTAAATTTAACTTTAGTTTCGTAACTTTCTACCTCGTCTGTGGCAGACGATGATATTATTTCCCATTCTCCATGAGATTGTAATTCTTCAGAAATTTCTATTCCATCAGTATATTGCGCGAGAAATACATCATGTCGATCAAGACTCCACGCGACGAACACTAGGTCACATGTTTGTCTATCGAAAGGGAAATAAGTCGAATCAAGGCTGCACTTTGTACTGAACACCTGAAAAGGACGCCACGTGACATATCCACCGCTCTGAATATTTACTTGAATGAATTTAGATCCAAGCTCTTTCAAATCACTGAACCCATTTTGCAGTGAGATATCAGGTTTCCAGATATTTCCCTGTGGAACATAAATTTCCTCTAATCCACCATAGCTGGAGGGTGTCCAGGTCAACAGGTCATCTGTCCAATGAACCTCCAACCATCCCGTAGTTGTAAGTTTCTGTTCAATCTCGTCAATTCCCGTTATTCCATAGAGAGTGAAACTTATATATACTTCCTTTGTCACTGACTGGTTGATGCTAGGTCTTATCAAATAGTTATAACTATTTGTTGTGAAAAGTTGTGTTAGTAAGTTTTGCACATCTGTATTACTCTGACAAACAACACGCCCAAAAACCGAAAAAATAAATAACCACCGTATCATCTTTATACTTTTGACGGTGTAGTCAAGAATGGGTTAGAGGCAGTGATATAAACTTGTTTTATATACTAGTTACTTTAAAGTTAGTAATGTATCTAATTCAAGTGAATCTTTTGTGATATTTGTTTTTAATAGTCCTTTACTTGAAAAGCTTTCTATTATTTATTTATTTTAAAGATTTAATTAAACGGAGGAGATATTACACCTGTTTAAGAAAACATTTGATTTCAAATTTGATAGTTATTTGGAATAGATTTTAAATCACAAACTTACTTTGGTTGCTGTCTTTTAATTTGTTTTTCGTTTATTGTTTTATCATTGATCAGTGAGTTGGGTTGAAATATTTCTACATTGATTTTATCATGTCAGGGCATTTTATAGCATACATTTATAATATGGGCTTTGCTCTTTTTTGAAGGCCGTAGTGTTACCTATAGTACAAAATTAGCTGCTTACATCTACGTCGTTTGATCTCTTTTAGATTAAAAAAAGGTTGACGACCAAGGAAAACGACAACAACGAAGGACAAAGGAGGACAATGCGACGACGATTGACAATGACGATGACAATAACGACAACGGAGGACAATGACGATGACAATGACGACAAGGGGGGACTATGACGATGACGATTGACAATGACGACAACGGAGGACTATGACGATGACAATAACGACAACGGAGGACAATGACGATGACGATTGACAATGACGACAACGACGACAATGACGATGACGATTGACAATGAGACAACTGAGGACTATGACGACAGAATCATAAAACTTCAAAAAAGAGTAGCAAGAATTATACTTGAATGTGATATTTCTGTTCCATCTAATTTTATGTTTTCTTCTTTAAAATGACTATCTTTTACAAAAAGAATAAAATACTAGTAACAACAATCAATTTTAATGTATAAAATTGTAAATGGACTAACACCTGATTACTTAACAATGCTAAATATTAATGATGTTCAACACTACAACTCACGATCCGTCTCTAATAATGATCTATTTGTTCCAAGACCAAATACAAATTTTTATAAAAAAATCTGTTCATTATGCTGCAACCAAGATATGGAATAATTTACTATTCACAAATTGTCGTAATGTGGAATTATTCAAGAAACATTGTTATAATCATTTTCTTGAAAATTCTATGCTAGTCAAATAATTTTTCTTTTATGGTTAGAATATGAAAACTTTAGCAATTGTTGCCATTTGAATGTTTGAATGATTGAATTGTATATATAGATATATTGTATTTTAATGTATGAATGTTAACTGTATACATGTATTTTGTTTGAGGGCCTCAATGAAAATTCTAATTGAGTTACCCTCTTTAAATTAAGAATTTATTATTATATTATATATTACGACAACAAAGGACAATGACGACGACGATTGACAATGGCTACAAGGGAGGATTATGACGACAACGAAGGACAACGACGACAACGAAAGACGACGACAACAAAGTACATCAAGTGATGGCAAAAGCTCACTTTCTTTAATGGGTCAAGTAAGCTAACAAATAAGAAATGTCTCAACAGGACAGCCAAAATCCGTATGAGGTCATCTTTACGTGAGGGAAGTGCACATTTTAATTGCCACACTTTCACTGTGTTACTTTGTTTTGAATTAGACATCAAATTATCATTTTGTGTCAAACTGGAGTAGTTTTAGTATGGAGGCCGGGTCATGACATTCGTCTTTGTTATTTCGCAAGGCAAAAACGTGAATTACAAAATGCAAAAAAAAAGGAAGGTCAAATTGTCTAAACGCGAAGAACGAGATATGGTTTATGTTACCTGCTTTGTATTTTTTTTTTGTTATTGTTGATTGTGGTTTTTGCGTTTTCGCCTCTTCGCGTTTTACGATTTCGATTTTCGCTATTTCACGATTTCATATTTTCACCTTTTTGTGTTTTCATCTAAGACAAATTCATGTTCACCCAATAATGATAACAATTCGATAAACTACCAAATACATTAATATACAATGATTGTATAAGAAATTACGTTTATACTCTGGTTGTTCGATTTTGTATACATAATTGTTGTTTGCTTCACGTCTATGAGCGATCATTTCATGCATGATCTGGACTAAATCTGAAAAAGGTAACTTATACTATTGGAAGTATGTCGACCGTACCAAGACCGGTAGGGATTTGCCTCTTTTTGAAATGTCTTACTTCAAATTTGACACTTGCATTTCGAAGTTGACATTTCTCACTTTGAAGTTGACACTTCAATTTCCAAGCTTACATATCTCACTTTCAAGTTAACACTTCCATTTCCAAGTTGACATATCTCACTGTCAAGTTGACATTACCAACATTTCTTACCACTTAGTTGACATTTCTCTATTCCAAATTAACATGTCTTAATTCCATTTAAAAATTTCTGATTTCCATTTAGACATTTCTCAGTTCCAATTTGACAGATCTCAGTTCCAACTTACCATTCTCAAGTTCAAAGTTTACATTTCCTCTTTTTGAAATGTCTTACTTCAAATTTGACACTTGCATTTCGAAGTTGACATTTCTCACTTTCAAGTTGACACTTCAATTTCCAAGCTGACATATATCACTTTCAAGTTGACACTTCTCACTGTCAAGTTGACATTACCAACATTTCTTACCACTTAGTTGACATTTCTCTATTCCAAATTAACATGTCTTAATTCCATTTAAAAATTTCTGAATTCCATTTAGACATTTCTCAGTTCCAACTTGACAGATCTCAGTTCCAACTTACCATTCTCAAGTTCAAAGTTTACATTTCCAAGTTGGAACTGAGAAATTCAAGTTGGAACTGAGAAATTCAAGTTGGAACTGAGAAATTCAAGTTGGAACTGAGAAATGTGAACTTGGAACTGAGAAATGTCAGAACGAGGTTTTATTCTGGTTATTTCAGTGAGTGCTAAATAATGTTGTCCCACTTTGAAAAAAGGAGTTGTTCAAATGCATAGAATTTTACTTCAGCAGTACAGAAATGTCGATCTTAACGTGTTTTACAATCTGTTTTCATTGAGTTGATCTTTACAGCTATTTTGCCTTTGTGTTTTTCTCTACTGATCCTTTTCAATACTTGTCAGCATAACTTGTGTATGAATCAAACTTTATGTTAACTATAGCATGTCATCTATAATATACATTGCATCATTTGCATTATAAGTATCATGACGTCAGATGGTAGGAGCTTCATTTTTGCATTCTTTTAAAGTGTTAAGTATTTATTCTATATATGTTTGACCATAATTTTCTATTCTTTATATTTTACCATCTTATTATTCTCTATTCTTTATATTTTGGGGTCTATTTTTCAGAGTTTTATTTTTTGCCTAAGTTTCTGTAGTATTGGTCCTTTATTATCTATTCGGTAAAACCCATTCAGACCCTGATAAAGGATAAAATGGCTAAAACGGAAAATTATTCATCATCTTTGCTTCCTGATGGAAACGATGTATCCGTGTTATTTTGAGTGTAGACCCCTCAGATTTTTTGGTTAATTGTAATATCCAGATTATTGAATACATCATATCTTGTATTTGTATCCATGGAAATTGGAGATCTTCATCAAATAAAATCCGGAGTCCTTAATGAGGGTCTGGATGGGGTTTACAGTGTAGAAAATAATGGGCCAAGTCTGCAAGAAAATGGGATAAAAAATGTAAGGACAGAGAAAAATAGGCAAAAAAAAAGAAGAAAAAGAAAAGAAAATAACTGGATGCTAAAATATAAAGAATAGAGAATAATGAGCAAAAATATAAAGAATAGAGGAAAAAACGACATAAATAAAGAATGCAGGAATGAAAGACCCCCCGAATCCAGACCCCTTTTAATGTGTTTATAAGGATTTAATATGAATTAAGACAGTTTTCCATGCATGCTGATCGTTATCACTTTGATTTATAATAAATGACACTAAAATAAGAAGATGTTTTCCCAATATTTAACATCACTTAAGAAGTATATAGCCTAAACCCCTTTCTTTAACTGTTAGGAACTTTCCTGTTATACATGTATTTAAAGGATTAAAGATTTATTTACTTATGTGATTTTCAAAAGTATTTACTATTATTTAAAAAAATTAAAATTTATTAACTTATTTATTGCTTTGATATGAAAGAGGGTGTGGATGGGGGTTTACAGAATAAAGAATAATGGGCAAAATATATATAGAATACCCAAACATGAACCAAAAAGAATAAAGAATAGAGAATAATGTGGTGCTAAAATATAAAGAAAAATGATAGAAAATAATGGTCAAAAAGTATAAAGAATAGAGAAAAATGGCCTAGAAAATTTAAAAAATACAGAAATGAAGGACACCCCACCCCTATCCAGACCCTTACTGTTGGTGGTCTACAAGTACGCTGGTCAGTGTTTTTGTATTGTTATCGTGTAACCGTAGTTTCAGTTGACAGAAAAAAAATAAGGTTAAAGGCCTATTTCATTTGCACAATTATGCAAACAAGATAAGACGCTAGTTAAAATATAATTATGAAGACTTCTCTTAATACTGTATACCACAAGACCAAACAAGATGATAGTCTTACTTTACAGTAACTGCCTTAGCACACATAAAAAAAGACCCAGAGGGTGACTGGGGAAAAGAATTATGGTCACTAGTTTTCTCTCGATCGACAGTAAAACCCTTGCCAATGTGGGCTTCCGTTTGGCTGTGCGGGATGTACAAGTACGCAGCCACGTCCGATCAAAATAGGGACGGTAAATCTAATGCATCGTGTAGAGAGAGTGCCACGCTCTATACAAAAATAAGGAGATGTGGTGTGATTGCCAATGAGACAACTATCCACCAAAGTTCAAATGAAATGGATGTAAGCAATTACTAGTATAGGCAACCGTACGGCTTTCAACAGTGAGAAAAACCCATACCGTATGGTCGGCTATAAAAGGCCCCGACATCCTTTGCACGTTAAGAACCTTTACAACAACTCTTTAAGTGGTCCGTAGGTAGCCTGTTGCAAGTCAAAACGT